TAAAATAAAACAGAAATGAGCACATTAAAAAAAAAAAAAAGAGCAAGAACAAATGGCTGGGGTTATAGCTCTGTGGTAGAGCACTTGCCTCTCACATGTGAGGCACTGAGTTCAATCCTCAGCACCACATAAGAATAAATAAAATAAATAAAGTAAAGACGTTGTGTCCATCTTTTAAAAAAAATGATAACAAAAGCACAGAATCTGTGGAAATGCATCCTGAGAACAAACCAAAACACTAGTTCCATCAGGTAAAAAAATCCTACACCAATTAACATATTTTTGAAATACCATTTCGGGGTGGGGGGAGAACAAGACACACTGTCAGAGATGAGCTAATTCTGAGAGTTGTAAAATTATGTAGTTTGACACTGAGAATGCTTAAATTCTCACAACTTAAAATTAACCCAGAAAGCTCACACATTTTCAAAAATAGAAACTCTCTACCACACTTGACATTTCTGAAATGCATAAATGATGAAAATCGCCAATTGACAGTGTATTTTATTCTTAAAACAAAACGGAGTCAACACAACAGGGAAATGGCAGCAGAATCCATTTAGTGTAGTACATAAAGCCAAATATTCATGTTACATGCCTAGTATAAGAAATCAATTTTGAGTAACTATTTCACGGCTATACAATACTCGGGCTTCAAGAACATTCCATGGCTACTTACTGTTAATTATTCTTAGATTTTCTTGTCCTAGGAAACATTCCCTGAAGTGAATCATTGAGATTTATGAATGCCACCAATAGAAGAGAATGGCAGTGTATCTAATTTCATGTCATGAAAGATATTCTGTTCAGTAGCAAGTTAGAAAGTATAGCATTTCCCTTTCTGCATCTATTGATGGTGAAAAGAGTTAGGACAGTGTTTTATTTTCATCAATTTTATATTCTCCAAAGGAGAATGTTTTCAAGGTGACCTCCCTATATAAAATTATTGACAATCTAGTCCTTATTTCTTAACTCTGTCTAGAAAGGACTGATTGGGGATCCCTTGGCAACCCAGAAACTTACCAAGATAATCAACAGATTAGCAATTGTGTATTGCAAATGATCTGCATAATTTTCTTTAATAGATGCTATGTGCCAACCTCTGTTCTAAATGCTTCACAAATATTAAAATCATTTGATCTACTTAGCAGTCATAAAATCCCTATTAGGTATAAACCATTATTACCCAAGTTCCATATGAGAAAATTGAGACAAAGATAAATAATTTGTCAGAGGCCATATAACTAGTAAAAATATAACTAGTAAAAGTAATCCTACCTTAGAACTCAGCAATGGTCAACCTTTCTCCTTAAAGGACTCAGAAATGGTGATTTTGCCAGACTGTTTTTCTATTTAACATAGTAGGCTGTCAACAAGTACTTACTAATTTGAAAAAGACACATGATTTTTAAATAGATAAATCAGAGTTGTGGTTTATCCATGAGGAGAATCCCCTGTCAATAAAAGTCCCTAAAAGAAAAAGTTTTAAACCAAATACCTGTACCTTCTAACTGAGCATATCCAAGCATTATTGTTAGTCTTAATAATAACATTACTGAGAATCACCTTCCATTAAAACTTTAGATTCAGGATCAGGTCACTGTCTGTGAAAGGTAGAGTCCTGCTGCCACAGGGAGAGATGGGCTGAGCAGTAAGTCTCAAGCATGACACAGAGATTGCCTCAGATGAGGAGTGGTTTTAATATAAATTACCAAAAAAAAATTTCTTTTCTACAATTTCTATATCCACCTGCAAGTGTGACATGCTGTCATCTAACAATACACACATCTTCAAGTCATAATTTTAAAGATTATTTTCAAGAATCAAAAATACAGTCAGGCACAGTGGCACACACTTGTAAACCCAGCAACTTGGGAGGTTAAGGCAGGAGGATTCCAATTTCCTGGCCAGCCTGGTCAACTTATCAAGACCCTGTCTAAAAATAAAAATTAATAAGGGATGGAGATGTTGTTCAGTAGAGTGTCCCATTTCCAATTTCTAGGACTACACATACACACACAAAAATAAATTAAAAATACAAAATAATAAACCAGAATCACAAATGAATTGGAAACACCATTTTACTATAATCCCATTTTTCCCACAAATATTTTTTTTAAATAACTTCAGTAATGTTTGACTTGAGGAAGTACTGAGGAATGAAATTGACCAAATTATGTTATATACATGTATAATAAATCCCATTATTATGTACAATCATGATCTACCAATAAAAAATGACCTAAAAAACTTTTGACCTTATTATTTCATAATTTTAGCAGTAAATAATTTTTACATGACTAAAATTTAAATTAAAAAATGTAAAAAATGTTTTTAGATTTAGTAATTCCCATTAAACACATTCATAACTGAATTACTGATATATTTTATCTATTTAGTTCTATAGTTATAACAGCAACAAAATGTATAGTATCAACACTGAAGCTGCAAATATGAACTATTTCTTTGTTTGAATTACAGTCCAGACAGTGAAACTGATTTCTCACAATACTACTTTAATCAATATTCTTAAAGCTCACTGCAAATGACATACCAAGAAAATAATACAAAAGCAATGTTCTGTAAAAGTACTTTTTGAATCAGAGATGGACTGAGGCTTTTTGATATAGTGATTTGTGGAGCATTAAATAAGGAATAAGGAGAAGTACCACCCTGGGTGGCTTTTAAAAAATGTACAAGTCTTTGATTCTATGAAATAATATACTTTTGCTAAATTATTACAAATCATCTCTACTAGGAAAAAAAGAATGGGTATTAGATGTTGTCTTAAGGGAAGATCTGGACCTATAAATTTCACTTCAAATTTGTATTGAAATTTAATTGTAACCTGGCATAAACTGTAAATTAAAATGGTTTTGGAAAAGCTGTCTCACAACAACCTATATAACCTAAATATTTTAAATTTATTTTCCCAGTAGAACTTCTTTTTGTATGTCATCTTATTTAAATACATTTTTGAAGAAAACATTTCATAATATTCAATGAACCTTAAGATGTTTTAGAGTTTAACAATAAAATCAGAAATTTATCCTGTGATATTCCTAAGTAATATCAAAATTTTAAATTCTGGCCACAAAAGCTCTGGCCCCTACAATGACAGAAGTTGGCAAGCATGCTCCTCTCCAACCTGCTGTCCCTCCCTCAAAGCCCTCTTGCTAAATGAAAAGACCTTTTGGTATTTGGTTGACTTCCAAACATTGCCAAAAATGCTCCAATGTCTTTCATGCCACTAAAATCCCTCTTGATGCAAATGCAATATAGTTTCAAGAATATTTAATTTTAGGCCCATAGTATTTTGATAGAAACTCTAGCTAAGAATTCCTGGATGAAGAACCAAGCAAATATCTGACATAGAGGGTAGAAACAGATTGGTGTTTCTTAACTATAGAGTCATTATTTTTTTTTAATTCTACTCAAGTGTTTATGTTAATAGTGCTAAGAACAACAAGAAGTGGTTAAGGTCTTTATATCCCCTCAATTACTGTTTGCTTATTAAAGAATAAATTATCTATTTTGTACAACACTGGGTTTTACTTCTGAACCTACAATTTTACATTTGTCCCTTAAGCCAAGTAACAAATTTACTAACACACAGTGTGTGTGTATGTATACACTTTCATAGAAAGACATTTCACTTGTATGAGGGAAGGACTGAGGCACCATAAAAAGTACAAAAGATTAGAATTTGCATTCACCTATCACATGCATGAAATACAAAATAATTTTTTGCACAGAGGTAAATAATTAATCTAGGGTCACACTGTTGGCAAGTCTTCCTTTGGCAAAATTATCCTACAAGTATTTAGGACTACATATCAACTTGAACTTTCCTTCAACTCACCCCTTTTACTTCTCTGTGAAGTAGTAAATCTTCTTGATAACAAAAGGCAGATATGTCCAATGAACGAATACATTAGATATTAACAAATTCGAGTCACTTTGTAGAATGTGCTCAATGTTTCCAATGTTTTCATCTCTGCTAAAGGGGTTTGAGGTTGGTAGGGATAATATTATGACTGCCTGCTTTTTACAGATATTAAAGGCAAGTCTATAGAATAATTTACCTGAGAGCACACAGTTTAATAAAAAAGTGGACCAGCAATTCAAATTCATGTGGTCCCCTCAAAATTCCAGAATGTAAACATTTGCTCACTTCTTGCAGCCATATCGCTTCGTAAAATGGTCTGGGGCTGCCAGAAAAGCAGTAATGTCTGACTTTCTGCAAATTTACAATACTCTGTATGCCTTGCCTAATTCTATCTCATTCTTTCTTGTGTTTTGGCCATGTTTTCTACAATCTCCTGATAAGTTCTTTGAGAGAATAGATCATAATCTTCAGCCTCTGTGGAACTGCCAACAACTACTAATACAGAGCCAAGGATCTGTAAATTTCTTTTAAACACTTGTTCATTCACTAACTAGAGGCAAAAGTTGTGGGAGGCCCAGTACAAGGCTGGGAGGAAATTTCACAGCACAGGAAAATTGAGCTTATGTATTATCCAATTCTATATTTTTATAATTATATAGAAGTTCACAGATTTTATTTCTTTCCTATTTTCAAAAAAAAAAAACTATTGCAACAATTTTTTTATGATACTATCTAGTATTTTCAGTGAAACAGAGTCTCAAACAGCATTGATGGGGAAAATAACCTTCCTGGATTGGATTTATCTGTGTGTAAATATATTATTTTAAATTGCAACCCTAGCAATTTTACTTATAAGAGTATTTCCTAAAGAAATAACTCAAGTGCATCCCCCAACTTTCAGCTTTGACACATAATATTAGTAAATAATCAAAATACTTGTTACAAGTTTTCAGACTCTGGAAACAGTGTGTGGAATAGCCAAGTCAGTTCTTTGTTTCTAAATAACTTTCATATAATTGAAAATTGCTTCTATATGTTTTACTGTTTCTATTTTAAGGTCAGAAATTTCTCCATCTGTGCCAATTAAATTTAGCCTGAAGTAGTCACGTACCTTAATCACATGATGCTTTTCCTGGAACACAGGAATCTTAAACATTTGGCACCAATACGTTGTACCTTTGTTTGGGATGGGGACCTGTCTTAATAAAAAGGGAGGGGGACACAGAGTCACATTCTGTTTGTCATGTCATTTTAAATACAGTGATGTAAGCCAAAACTCTCACATACCCTTTAAGTAAGACCATTCTTATGGTCATAAAACCTAAAGAAACTTACGTCCTGATTCACTAGGTCAAAGTATGGTAAGGCTGTAGGCAGCACGCTGTTTTTTTCAGGATTCAATAATCGCAGACTCTTGGTGCCTCGATTGGAATCATGGTACTTGGGGCCGGCTTCTCCCACATCTTCCTGGTGGTAGGCCCAGATCACTCTCACCGTGCTATCCTGATGATCAGACATGGCATGTTACCTTGCAGAAAAGCACTTTCCTCACCTGATTTGAGTTTAAAGAACTCCATTTAGAGCCAAATGTAAAAATAAAGAGAAAAATGACAGCTGCAGTTGTCAATCTGGTCTTTAACATTGATTTCATAAATTTGATTAAGTCATTAAGGATCCAAATAGGTGAATTACTTTTGGGAAAGAATTATCATTCTCAGCACACAAGATATGTGTCCTCAAACAGATTATACTTTTCATGAATCAATGTCAAGCCAAAATTCTAAATCAGCAGCTAGTAGTTAGAAAGCAAGTGTTCTCACTGTGTAGCAGGAACTTTGGAAAATTAAAACCTGCCCTAATGTGATGAAACATTTGGGGGGGGGGGGGCAGGGGTAGAATTCAAATTGAATGAAAATTAAAATTACCAGAAGATTTTTCCTTTTGCAATAGGTTTTTTCCAGTCATACATATGTATTAGCAGAAAGGGCAAATGCAGAAGGAATTTCTGATTCTGGACTTGTTTTTTATAACAGAGGCAATCCATAGTCACTTTATGACTCTTGGGAATTTCCAAGGGACTGGGGTACCAAATTAGGGAAAATACTATCAGGTGTAACTGGTTTCTGAACCACCAAGAGAGATTGCCCAGGGGGATGTAGGGTGGGAAAGGTTTGATCAGGTACAGAGAAACTGTTCAGTCCTTCCTCCCACAGAAAAAGGTGCTTTTGCCAAACCTTAATAAAACTTTGAAAACAGACAATAAAGCAAAAGCTATTCATTTTAAATGTTCTCTTTGCTATATTCTTTCTTAAAAAGTCAAATGACTATAATTATTTTTCCAATTAAAGTATAATTGCACTGTATATTACACAAAAGTGATCCACTTCTTTACATGTGTACTTTCTTCCTCTTTTACTCCTCTGCTGAAAGTTAATCAGAACGACTTCAGATTTTTTATATTCCCATTTTTTAAAATCCTAATTTAGTGAATAAAAAAGAAAATTTTATTGTTCTATGCAAAATGACATTAATGCAAGCAGTTCATGGAAATTTCCAAAGTGCCGCATGAATTACACGTCCTCCAAATATTTAATTTGTGTATGCATAAAGATATTAATTTTGCATGAAAGCTGAAAATAAGAAATCTCATATAATATGCCAGCAGGTGATTATAATTAGCTGACTATTCATCTTGATTTTAGAAATTTACAAAGATGAATCAATTATAAATCAGATGAATTATATTCTAGAACTTGGACTCATAATTCTTTCTTGAGTAATACATTTTTTCAAAACTTTATTGACAATTTTTACATTTTACAGAGAAGTTGAATTTATAAGTAAGCTTATACAAACTTTAAAGGGCTCTTCAAAATGTTAAAATCACGCAAAGCTACCTTTACTGAAATCTATAGTATTGGAGAGGTTTTTTAGCTTTTGAAGAGATTTTCAAAAATAGTCCCAAAACCCATGTGACTTTGTTGTCAATTCTTCAGTACTTATTTCTTTTATTCTTTAAAGTGTCTCACAAGTATAAATATACAATTTAGTCAAACATGCATTCACTCATACTGTCCTTACCGTTATGCTCTTGTCATTTAGGTCACATGTCTGCAGTTCTCTGGTAAATTCAATTATTGTGTGTGTACTGTTTTCCATGGCATACTCCAGGTGGTAATCTTGCTGAGTATCTTTTTTCAACTCTTTATTTGCATTTGTAAAATAATCCTGTGGAAAATATTAAAAAAAAAAAAAAGAATAGTCTAAGTATAGAGTGTAAAGAATTTCAGAGAATTTACAGAACCTGAAAATCACAATTCTGGGTTTTCTTAGTACAAAGTCTTTTACCTAGACCCATTTTATAAGTCCTGGAAATTTCCTCCAGAAAAAGGCAGAATAGATTTACAATATCATAAAATATTTAAAAAAAAAAAAAGAATGAGCGGGGCGCAGTGACACATGCCTGTGATCCCATAGTCTCTGGAGGCTGAGGCAGGAGGTTTGCAAGTTCAAAGCCAGCCTCAGCAAGTTAGTGAGGCTTTAAGCAACCTAGTGAAACTCTGTCTCAAATGAAATAAATAAATAAATAAAACAGGCTGGGTGTGTGCCTCAGTGATTAAGCGCCCCTTGGTTCAATCCCTGGTACCAAAACAAATAAATAAATACATAAATAGATAAAAATTTTTTAAAAGAATGAACACTCCAGGTCACTGAGGATTTTCCCTTCATTGTACAAATGAAAAAGGGGACTAATGTCTTACCCCAAAGCGAAAAGAGCTAGCATCAAAGCCTTAGAAGCAGCCCTAAGGTCCACACTTTCCAATATCACACCTGGTGAAGCATCCCTTCACCTTCCATAAAAACCAAGAGACCCATGGGAAGGATTCAGAATGAGTTTTAATGGTGCATGCTTATTATAATGAAAAATAATGAGAAAATATGCAAAACAATGAAAGTAGTTAAATTACATGATATTGGGAAATCTAGGGAAGTTTTGTTTTTGTGGATCAGCCTTAGTTTCCTTACTAAACTTGCTCAGTAGTGTACAATCCACTTTTGGTGGGGGGTAGACAGGGCAATGGTCAGAACATGGGCTTTGAGATCCAATGACTAGGATCTGACCCCTTACTGTCTCCATACAACCTTACAGAATTACTGAAATCAAACGTTGAGAGCTCTGGTTTTAACATTAGTAAAATGGGGGTAGGGTGTGTGGGGGATGTGTGATAGATATTTGTTTCTAGATTTTGGGCTATAAAACAATGAAATATAGTAGGGGTGCCTACCATGGTTAGTTCCCATCCACTCTAATTTTCTTTCTTCTTTGGCAACATAGTTTATTTTTTCCCCAAAAAAATATTTCCCTATGCTCTTTGCCACTGGCTTACTATGCTGAGAGCAATGCTGCTATTAACGTTCACCACTATAACACATAAAACTTGCCTTAATTATACTTCTTAGTACCCCAAATATCCTGTTTTTGGAAAAAAATGAAAATTTTCTAGAATGTACATGCTGAATATAAGTAGTTTTATTAAATTTTATTAAAATTTACTTTAAGACTTGATTAATGTTCTTGACTGAGAAAATACTTTATTCAAAAAAACTTAAAGTTCATTCATTAAAATCTCAAAAAATTAGTAAATTTTTTTACTCTAAATTTTTTTTAAAATGTCTATGAAAGTCACTCTTAAATGGATAGCATTTGGCTCTTTTATTCCTAGCACCTTTTTATGATAACTATCAAGTGTGGATAAATTTAACATCTGAGGTCTACAAATTCTTTAATATGGTCAACCCCTGGTAACATTAACTACAACTTATGTTCTACATACCTGGCCCTGTTTAAGCAAACTACATGTATTAACTCATTTAACTTCCATATGAAATCTATGAGATGAAACTGTTTTCCCATTTTGCAGAAGGACCCAGAGGCAACATGTCCAGCATTCTACAGCTGAGACACTGAAAAGGCAGTATTCAAATGCTAGCAGTCTGACCAGAGGTTGTATCCTTCTTCACTACACTGTAGCCAACACTGTTGGGATAGAATAGGTGCTTTATTCCTGTTTGTTTTTTCTGTATAGAGAAAAGAGCTACATTAGGGGTTTTTGTTTTGTTTTTGCTTCATTCATTTTGTTTTACAGAAAATGTTACCTTTATGTAGCTAAACTTGGGGTTTGACAAAAATTTTACTCTGAGAACCAGGCTGCAACTGTTAAAGCAATTTAAATGAAGTACTAGTATGTTACTGAGATGGGCCCATTTGCATCTCATACATTGTCAACGGAAAATGAAATAACAAAGCTTACGAACAAAGATTTAGACCAACTGTGCTTTACACTAAACTCAGATTTCATTACATTATTCATGCAATCACAGCTTTTGCAAACAAAGAGAATCCAACAGAAATTGTAATTAGTTGAAAGAGTAGAATAATTATTCTAGTCTGTTTCCAAAACCATTAATTCCACAAAATTTCTAGCTTGCTTGCCAATTTTCCATTCATTCTATTTCCACTCAACACCATCAATTCCTTCCAGCTATTCTACCTTTGTATGGCTTTTCAGATAATTTAGCTATGGGGAAATGGGAGAAGCTTCACTCACTTTGCTGTGATCCCTTGAGCTCATCTATCCTGTGCAAACCAAATAGCACCTGATATTGAAAGACAGTTGACAACTATTTCAAAGTTATAGCACCTGATGAAAATGCGATTGTCTAAAAGGAGCAATATCTTCAAATTTAGTGAGGGAAATATGGTTGGATCTTACTAAAACTAAAAATGTGAATTAACCTAACCATTGCTGTAATTGCAGCATATTTTTTTCTGATTTTTCAAACTTTAGGGAATATTCTGGAGACACAATCTTCAGTTTTGATCATACTATACCCTTGTTATCCAATAGTATACTTATTCACAGGTTTACTTCAGCTTGGGCCCTCATTAATAGTTGGAAATCCACAGACTAATCTTGTTTTATCAAGAGACTTCCCAAAACGAATAGTCTAAACCTTCTCCATACAAGATAACCAACATTTGTGCACCCTGAGCTTACATCTCACATCTCACCTTAGTGAGAGAATTTTAGCTATGATACATGAGAGCTCCTGCCCTGGCTTCTTTCTATCCTAGAAATATCCTTAATGTAATCATAAAACCTACTCAATCTAAAAGAAAGCAGGAAAAAATAAATAAATAAAACGTATGAAATAAAAAGAAAACAAATCAAAATGAAATGAAGAAGAAACATCACAACAGATTTTAAGACATTCAAAGGTCAATGATATCTATAACTTGGTGCCAAAAAACTAAATGGATAATCCAGATGGGAAATAAATGCCTTGAAAGCCACAAGCCAGTAAACTCTCAAAAAACACAGATACTGTAAATAGCCCTACAACTTACTAATAGGTAAAGACCTTACTACAAGAAAATTGTAGGCCAAGATGCATTCACCTGGAATTTTACCAAATATTTGAGCAACAGAAAATACCAATCCCTCACAAACTTTTCCAGAAAATAAAAGAAGAGGGAGTATGTCCCAAGTCATTATTTTTACTCCAGCATTATCCTAACACCAAAGCAAAAGATGTTACAAAAAAGAAATTATAGATTGATATCTCTCATTGGACCTAGATGCAGATTTTCTTAAAAACAGCAATAAAGGTATCTATTAGCAGACAGAATCCAACAACATTGAAAAGGGGTAATATATCATGAGTGCAGAGTTATTTAAACATTAGAAAATCAATCACACAAATTCATCATATCAAAAGTCTAAAAAAGAAAAAATCATATGATAATCTCCATAAATGCAGAGAAAAAAAAAAACATTTGAAAACATTGACATGTGGCACAAATCTCTCAGTAATCTAGCAATAGGTCTGTCCCCTACCTTATAAAGAGTACCTATAAAAGGCCTATAGATAGCATCATACTTAATAATGAAACACTAAATTCTTCCTAAACTTAGGAGGAAGCCCTGGGATCAAGGTATCCTGCTTTCTACTTAGAGAAAACCCCACTGTTGGTTATCCGCCTCTGACAGTTCATCTGTTCTCGGTTCCATTTTCTCCTCCCAATCCCTAAAAAAAAAAATGTTTGGCTTGCCATTGCATCTTCTGTATTCATATTTTACCCTTTGGTAACCTCATCTAATCCAAGTTTTAAATCATCACTTTTAACTCAGTATCATATGTCCAAAATTTGTTTCACTTGTCTTACTGTTGTTTCAAATGCAATAAGTCCAAAATTGTACTTAATCTTTTACCTGTAAGATTTGTTTTCCAGATTTTTATTTTTTATTTTACTGCCACCCTCTCAACTATCCAAACTCAAAACTGCAGTTTTCTTTAACTTCTTTGCTACTACTGCTACCTCCACAGAAAGGCTCCTATGAAGAATTCCTTTGAAATAATAACCAACTTTGTATTTCTATCTCATTTCAATTGCCATCTCAGTTCAGACTCTACCATTTATATACTTCTGTCAAGATCTTCCTTGTAAAATCATTCTCAATACATCACTGCAATTTTGTCACTCGTATATAGTATAACATCCTAAAGTCTAGTTTCCCAGTTTCCTAAAATTCAGCCTGACCTGGACTTTAAGGTTATCTACTGTTTGATTTTGTCATATAATACTATTTTCTATTTATGATTCCCTTCAATGCTAGACCATTTTCTATCTTTTTGCTTTTGTTCACATTCTTCCTCTCTGTCTCTCCTACTCTTATTAATTTTTTTAGCTGTAGATGCACAAAATGCCTTTTATTAATTTATTTTTTTTTATGTGGTGCTGAGGATCAAACCCAGTGCCTCATGTGTGCTAGGTAAGCTTGTTCTACCTCTGAGCCACAACCCAGCCCTTCTCTTTTAATGCAACCAAGGCACCTCTCCACGAACTCCATCTATTGAATCCCTTTCCTTTAAGGCTAAAGATTCCATTTCCTCTGTGAAGTGTTCCTTGATCCTTCCCATGGGAAGCAATTATTTCTTTTCTGAATCCTTATTCCTCTACTTACATCTTCATGTAGTATGCATGTGATATATTGTAGACATTGGATTATCTTCTCAACCATGTGGCAATTGACTAGAAACAGCTAAATCTCATTAATCCAGTTATAAACATGCACCATTAGAACAGTTGTTCACACTGTAAAATGGAACCCCCCAAAAGCAAGTTGATAGATTATTTCCATACTTGCTCTCAAATATATTTACAT